TACAACTACAACCAAAATGATGGAGAAACAAATAATTCGGGAGCTTCTGGAGTATCTCAAGCGTCACGACATAATCACCGACAAGCATTATGGTTTTCGGCACCAGCGATCAACCAGGGACCTCCTAGCTTACGTCACACAACTGTGGAATGAGCTTATTCAGTGATTATATCCTACGGCTTGCCAGAGAAGCCTTGCAGATGGGTGACTAACTTCCGCTCTGGCCCCAAAATATCTGTCGTAATTGACAGGTACTTTTCTTCTTCTCACAATATCATCCCGCGTGTTCGTCAGAGATCGGGCTTGGTTTCAACATTGTTCGTATTACATATCAGCGATCTCCTCCTCCTATACGATCAATCAATTCGGCAGATTCACTTTGCTACACGCAGGCATTCAATGGATCAACCCAGTCTCTGCTGGTGAGCTGGAGCGATGGAGAATAGTCGTCAGTGCCTCTCTTACGAGAGATCTGGAAGTGATCGCTTCTTGGGGACGCAACAATCTGGTACAGTTCTTTCTGCAACTCGTCTAACAAGAAGCACCCTGGCGTTCATTCGGTGTCGTTGAATGGCCGACTTTTGGATTGTTACGAACACATCGTCAATCGCAACAGCCACTGGGGAAACAGTTAGGTTATTTGTTTAGGGCTTAGAAATACTTTTCTCCACAACCCCCTAGCTCTGTACACGGCCAGCCAGAACCCACTTTCTAGTACTATTCATATGTTTGAGGTTCTGTCGCACCGATTACACTGTTCTTACTCGATGCTGTTCAGATGAGGTCTGTCCGACTATTCGATAACGGGGCGTTGAGCCTGCCAGACGGACCCAAAGGTTCTGTTTACCGTTTTAACTCTGTCGAACTTCTTACATCTAGGACTGGCCTGTATGACCACTCATTCGTTCCTAGGGCGTCGAGGCTGTGGAACAATCCACCTGAGAAAGATTTTCTCAGTAATGCTAATCTTAGCTAGGTCCAGCATCGGATTAACAAGATGTATTGAAACCCCTTCTTAGTAAACATGAAAAGGTATATTTACATTCTTGGAATGAAAGTTTTAGATCCTAAAAGAGATAACCTGATAAAGCAAATTCTCAGCACATATTGTTCAACTCCCTTTACAGCGTATTCTACTGACGAATGTTCTAGGAATATGCGATTTAAGAACATTGTTCATTAGCGTACATGCTTAGAATATTCATGTATAAGGCACCCAAATACAAAATCTTATTGTAACGTTATACCAGGTAATGAAAAGGAATATTCTTGGCACGTGTTAAGCACATTCTATCAGAATCCATCAGAAGTATTTTTCGACCCAACGCGCATGTGCGTGTGTCCAAGCGACCAATGCCATAATAGCACGGGTATCACGTATCTTGAAAAGTGACAATATGCCAATTTTTTTTACATTATGCTGCTGTTTTTTACATTATGTAGGTTTTTCTACAAGATGTTAGCTTAGCACTTGTACGTGTTGCCTAAACGTCATGAGGCTTGTTATCAATCTTCGGTTCTGATATGATGTAAAATCTGCTTCTCAGATGGCATTACTGGAGGTCTAAGCTGTAAGTGGTATCTGTTGATGATAGTTACATTGGGTTCTTGTCTCAAATACACTTAATTGAGATTCAAAGCTAGAAATTAGTTGCGCAGCCACTCTTTCTTATCCTTTCTGGAAATTACCTATACAAATTTGCTGAATTTAAAAAATGAGAGAGATAAGAAGTAATTATATTCACTGTACAGTGTACACTGTCGAATTACAGGCCATATGTATGCTACCAGTAATTACACACAACGCGGGCGCGGTGATGATTTACCGTAATTCTCCTCAGTTTTTCGTAATTTATAACTTTGAACATAACCTCTCTTCAGAAAGCACAACATAAAAATAACCCGTCGGGCACAGCCTATAGATATCCTTCAATGGCAGCATATTCAGTAATGATTTTCTCACACAGCAAATATCAATGATTTTATACTCATGCAGACCAACACACATAATCGTCCAGATGCAATTTTGCTATTCAAACAACTTTCTTTTCAGAGATAAAAACTAAAAACTAGGACCACTCGGCCTCATAAAACACATACAACCAATAATGCGTGTAGTTCAGTTGTGTCGTTCCTCCATAGATGGACGTACGTAACGATCCTAGTGAGCAAACATCGAACGACTGTTTGCGCCCTACAAACTACCTAGTTTGCAAGATGACATCTTTTGACGTTTTATAGGTTTTTTACATGATACCCGTGCCGCTTACCGACTTCCATTTTGTTTTATTCCATGTCTGTGTGTATCTAACATATCCTGCATCGTGTGTATCTCCAAGTGGGTACATTATTTGACACTGCTTTTTGTGGAAAAAAAAGGTTTCGTGATAATTATTCACCCGACTAATGAACATTATTGTGTCAAGTGAGTAAGGAGTTTACAAGATCCCAACCTCCAAAAACATCGCCTAGTAGGTAGTTTGATTAGTAGTTAGAAGAAACTAGCATATGCAGCTGCTCATTATGGAGAGACGCAGAAAGTATATGGATAGAATAAGAAAAACAAGAGTAGACTTCCAGACTACAATAGAAGGGGACCATAACTTTACATGAATATATTCATATGATATACACATTTGATTATGAATACATGGTTAATTTGCTTTGTTATACACGGAGCTGCCATTAGATGTCTCTTTGACGAGCCACTGGATTTTTCACGAACATTCATTGGATATTCGTGGGGTATACTAAATACATAACTTCACTATTGTAATATCCAGGTTCTTGGATCTGGATGTACAAATGGATACCCTCCGGATGTATCTGTCCATCCAGAGAATATCCTGGTTATTCACCGTGGATATCTTATCAGCAACCTTCGGATGTATGTAAGCTCTCTGGGAAGACTACTAAATCACCTTATGAGAATATTCTTAGAACATTGGAGGATATTCAAGATGATATTCCAAGAACATATCTTCTTTGGATATGCTGTAAGACTTTGCCAAATCACATAATGCGAATATTCTTAGAACATGCTGCAGCACGTTTTTGGAATGCGTGATACCTGCTCCTAATAGGAGTTTGTGCAGTATGTTGTTTACGCACCTGTTTAGAGCGTAATATTGCTGTTAGAGGACATTCTTAGAACATGCATAGCAACTGATTTTGTTTAATGGGTTATAACAGTCGCGGTGTTCCTGTATTTAGGTTTCTACGCGGCCGCGTCAGTATAAAAAATAGATGGCAGACAGGTTGATGTAAATAAGAGGCATGGTAGTCTGACTGATCTCCGAAAATGGAAAATGGTCTAACAAATCGCTTGCAGCTGAATCTAGATAAAGCAACAATCACACAGGTGCTCTTGAGCTAGCTACAAACATGTATTACAAACAAATTAAATGCGCCAAGTTAGCCAAACAGGCCCATATACAATTAGTTCATACTCCATAGTGCACATCCATTTGATAACGCTAACGCTGCCCTAAATATCAGCCATCTGGCAACGCTGCTGGACCGCACCAATCAAACACGATATTATAACATCCCTGCCGGCGATGCAGTCGGTCGCAAAGTGGGTTTCGGCGAATGAAAGTCGAATCGTCCCGACTGACCGCATGTCTCGTCTATAAATCTTTCTTTAAGTTATAAGGGCAAATGTACGATGTGTGAATTATGCACTGATAATGATCGGAAGCCTCTGAAATGTCCAAAAACAAAAATTGAATAATTTTAATTTTTTCTAAAAATTAGATTTTCGAAAACTACAAAGCTTATTCGCCCTTACCGTATCAGTAATTGTGTAAGAATTTCATCAAAATCCGAGCAGTACTTTCCAAGTTATACGCGGTCATACTGACAGGCAGACAGACCGGAATGAGTGACGTGGTTACATGTCATATAATATCCAAAAAACATAATGAAATATTATGTTCAAAAATTTCTGCGGTCACAATACTCGCCAGTAGGCATGGAAGTAAAAAGTGGTACTAGGCATCCCACTATATTTTTCTCATGCATTTTTTCCCGCTAAACAAAAATCTGGAGGTCAATGGGCACATTTTAGAGAAAACGCATAAAAACAGTACACATCATTACACAGGTTCACAAAAAAATAATGTGCGATGTGTTCCAGCATATTTTTCCCACTGAACACGAATCTGAAGTCGAAATTGGGGATCGACAGGTAAGGGTGAAAGTCATTTGGTCATCAGAATTACAAATTTTGGTGGATATGTTTTTCATCAGGATCACTGGATCAAAAATACAAACCCGATGTCCAAACTACTTTCATATTTGTCTATCGAGCCTCAATCCTGACTTCAGATTCCTGTTCAGCGGAAAAAAGTACATGGGTAATTATAGAGGGACCCCCAGCAAGCACCACTTTCTTATTTTGCAAAGTAAAACATTCTTGTTGCAGCCGCAACGTAATCAAATATCAAGCCAGAAAGACTGTTTATTCTGTGTTAATGCCAGCTTTCGAAAATGTTTATTTTCTTCTTCAGGACGTGCTAAAAAATATATTGCATGAATACTAAACTCATTACACTCATTACAATACCAATAAAAAACTAATTAAAACTTCGAAATCCTTTTTCAGGATAAACAATCCGAAAAAACAGAAAATAAACATCAATAAACGTAAAATACCAAAACACAGAGGTCATAATTTACAAGACTGATCATTGTTAAACTTCATGAGCGAAGATTCTAAACTTATGGTATTAACTCCATACTGATATGTTGAAAACATAGCATTGCGGTTGATTAAGCCGTCAGGTGCAGATGGCGTATGAATTTAGATGTTGGGAAGGGATGAATAAGAAAGGAAAACGCATGACACGCTTACAATGTTGCAAAAGACAAGGGTGTAACAATCAATAGTGTGATGCAAACAGGATGTAGTGGATTTCTTTATTTTGTGGGCCTGTGTCATCTTTCTATTCAACATTCAACTTGTATTTTGGCATTTTATTATTGCATATTTTCTCTAGTTCCAAGAAGAAGGTGAACATTCTAAGGGTCACAGCACCAAAGGAGAACACAACATCCGCAAAACCGATGAGTTTGAAAAGAAACAGGAATTTTATGAAGAAAGCCACGAAGGAGGCGATTTCGAGAAGGATGGAGAGTTTTATCATGAAGATGGTTACAAGAAGGTATGTGCCAAATTCAGATTCTATAATCAGTTATAATTAGAACTAATAGACTGCCATTTCGCATTGCAACCTGCAACAATGTAACTGATGGATGAGAGGCTTTGGTTACGTTGCTAAGAGCTAACGCTGCGTGAATTATGATTTACCTTTCGACAGATATTATTTGAACAGGCAGCTTTTAAAATTTTGATTGATCGATAGAGATCAGGTACATGGAACAGGTCATGCTCGGCTGTGTTGTTAGCAGGTTCAGTCGACATCAAGGTGATAGCGATGTTCGGCAACTGATCTAAGCCATAGCTTATGCAGCACTAGCTTGTAGCAGCTGGTGCAACTGAACGTAACCATTTGCTATAAGCTTTGTTCGAGCAAACCGTCAAACTGGTTCCGAACAAAGCATGCGCAGATGGAAATTCCGTTCCACCAAAAAATGGAACTAATTCCGTGACTGGCAGTTCTCTGTTAAAACAAATTTTGAACTGATTCCGAATCGGTTCTGGTGCTGAGAGAGAAGTTCTAATTTGATAGCGCATGCGCGTTTACAGAACAAACATTTTGTGCATCTTCTAACTTTTCAAACTTCTCATATAAAAAACCTATCCCTTAACCATTTATTGTGCAGCTTGTTACACATATTCAAAAGGCTCGTAACGATGAAGATTACTTTGGAACATATTCAAGTGAGGATGATTATCTTGAGCTAATGATAGGAGATCCAAGAACCATAAATGAAAATTACATAATCAAGTGTTGATAACTTTAATGAATTTATGTCAATCATATTATTAGTAGTGTAACTCTTATATATTCCTTTAATGTCAATTAGCAGCTTAGTATTGTTAACATATCATTCAATTTCCCCCTCTGCTACTGTAGCAAAAGGCAAAATGATGAATTCCTCCAGTTCTAAAAAAGACAAATACTTCGTACTATTTCTTAAACATATTTCACCGAGCTACTTATCCCTTGTCAAATCTGCCATCTAGATTTCTACATTTTTTAAGATTTACAGTACACAAAAAATATCTCAAATTCCACGTCTAGCATACGGAAACTAGATACTTTTGAATTTCACTTTAATTAAGGGAATTACCTCAGGCGTAAAATAAAAAATAATTCGGAACTAGATCTGAATTAGTTCGAAAGCGCTTGTTGGAAAAAACCTATAGAATCTCTATAAGTGATGCGGCAGAGCTTGGTGACGGGGATAAGCCAATATTTCTATCTAAGTATGTCAACGTGTCTTGCACCACTTTTGCGCACTGAATCCTCTTCTTCAGAAGATTAGTCTGAGGCTTCACAATGCACATTAGCGGAACCCTCCGAGGTTCCACATTGCACTCCAGCGGAGCTCCTAGGTCGTATTAAAGACCTCAAGGTGCGTAAAGCACCTGGGGAGGATCAAATCACCAACAAGGCGTTGAAGCTGCTCTCGGCGAAAGCTCTGACAAGAAGGGGGGTTCGCTCTTTCCTCAGGATTACCATCCCATTAGTCTGCTGTCAACTCCTTCTAAGCTCGCCGAAAAGGTAATTTATCGTCACCTTGAGAATTTTTCGTCAGATCATCATGTGATTCCTGACATTCAATTCGGCTTTCGGTCCTAGCATAGTACCGAGCTACAGGCAGTTTAGGCTGGTGGAACATTTAACCAGAGAGTTCACCCTCAGCATGAGTACTGATATCGGGCTTTAGGATGTCTCAAAAGCCTTTGACAAGGTGTGACACGAGTGCCTCGTCCATAATATAATCCAAAAGAGTTTTCCTTTTGTGCTTCTAAATCTCCTGAAATCCTTCCTTGAGGGAAGGAAGCTTCGGACCAAAATTAACAATGTTTTGTCAACAACACGCCAGTACGGGCTGGTGTTCCCCAGCGCTCGGTCCTAGGACCAATCCTTTACTTGCTTTTTATCCTCGATGTCCCTTCCCCAGCAACTGTGAAGTCTATCTCTACGCTGACGACACTGCACTTGTTGCCCAGGCGTGTACTGGAGATTTGGTTCACGATGAACAGCAGGGTGCGGTGGAGGAAGTACTAGAGTGGGCGGAACGGTGGCTGATTAAAATTAATCATTCGAAGATGCAGGCGATTTATTGTACCAAAAAACGTCGCGACCGTCCACCCACGGTTCCGGTAGAGGGAAATTGTATGCCAGCAGCGCTGACTTAAAAAACTCAGAAATGCAGTTTTGTAGAAAATAAAATAAGAAACACTTTAGAAGTATAAATATTGAACAATTCACATCAATTTTACATAAATGAAATTTAATTCGATTAAACGATCAAGTGAAATTAAAGCTTAGTTATGAGAGTAAATATTTGCCTACAATTAAGTATTTATTGACCACATAATTAACAGCGCCTTAGGTGGAAAAACTGCCACCGAGAATCGGTCGCGTATTAATTGCAATAATTCAACGTGCTATGTTATTTTGGGGTGGAAGATATTAGAAAAAAACAGTTTTTCTCTTCGCAATCGGTAAAATCATAAAACCAAAAAATGCATGAGATCTAGTAAACTTGACACCTAAGTGCCACCTTTACTGGGATAAGAACCAGTTTCTGTTGAATTCCTTGATCTGTTGCGAAAATACGACGTTTTCATGGTTTCATTTTAATTACAATAGTCACCACGCAATATTTAGCCAACAATTACTTACTCAATGAATTTAATGACACTATTGCAGTGATTTCGCGGCACATTCTTTCTATGCCACCATCAAAGATATTTCGTAAAGTCTCACTCTGATAGCTCCTCATTACAGTGGAAATACAAATCAAGGTTTTTTTTATGAAGAACATGTCCTTATTTTTGTTAGGACTGTCAATTGTTTATATGTTCAATATTTGTTGGTAACAATAGTTGGGTTCGTTCTGCAGGTGAAGTGAGTCAGTCCAAATGGAGATGAGACTGTCAAATCGGTGAATGTCTTCAGAGTTCAATTTACAAGCTGAAAGTCGGTCATACTACCGCTACGATTTTATTGAGCTATTTTTAACTTTAATGAAGGGCAGTATAATTGATTTTGCCTATATCCATTGCCAAGTTCTGTAATCACACTTGAATTCGGTGGATTTTGCACATAAACAAAACGATCTTACTCAAAAAGTGAGTAAAAATGTCACTCAGTTGAGGTTGGTAATGTAGTTAGGGTAAGGGGCGAGAGAGGCGTTTCACCTGATTTGGTGCAAATTCGGCCAACTTGAAGGCGTTTTTGAAGTAATGAATTTAATGAATATAGTCTATGTCTAGTAAAATACTTTTCAAATGAGAGAAAAGTTATACGAATTATGTATGATGGGCTCCTAATTCTTATATTAAATCAAGAAATACTTCATTTATCATATCAATTTGTCGAATATTTCTCAGATTGTACTGTTTAAGATTGCTACAAAAATTTATTTAGCCATTTGATTCAGGGCACAATTTGCGAGTAAGGCACAAATTCGACCAATCAAAAAGGAAGATTTGCGCCCTGCTCGAAGCATGGATCAAAGCTGGTCCAGTATCTACATCGACATGACAACATGTACTGAACATTTTATTGGAAATATCGACATCTCTACTCATCTGAGAGAGAAAAGATAAACATGCCCATTCAGTTGCCGTGTATCCATTACTTCAAAAACGCCATCAAATCGGTCCAATTTGCGGCCTAGGCACAAATTTTGTGAATCGGATAGTAAAATACGGCCTAAGTCGCACATAATGCTATTACAGTCTTCCAAATCTGATCAATATTTTGCCAGATCCAGTGCTTTAGGGTATACTGGTGAAGAAAAATTTCCAAATATTCTTGGTTGTATGCAATTTAGACTATACCGCGTTTCTTGCATCGGGCAGATCACAAATCTGATGCCACATTTCAGCTGAGACTGATAGGAGGGCCTAGAAAGCACATTGTCTTCTTCTAAACTGAGCTTCGTGATACTGTAGATTCATTAATGAATATATTCGGATTCGGCATCAAAAATTACCTAAGTTTACCGAGCTTCATCCGGATGCACCAACAGAAGACGAAATGGAAAGCTTACGTCAAGAATTTTTAAAGTTTGAAGGTACACTACTGACGACAATCAGCAAAAAATCTTGCGTATCTGCAATCTCCTTGATTCGACCCCCCCTCCCGGAACCTAATCTCACTGGAGATTTAATAAAATTTCCATTTTTAGTGTCAATGCGACGCATTTATTTGAAAAACACAATTTTGTTCATAATTTGTAATTAAAACCAGTTGAGACTGGTAGAGTATACAGCTCTGCAGAAGGCCATACATTTTTCTGAAATGGCAAAAACTGTATAAGAGAAAATTGTGCTTCTTCAGACCCACACTGAATGAACTAATAGTAATTTCATGTACCTAAATAAAGGTCATTAGAAGACTAATACTGGAAATACGGTATTACCCTCGTAGATGATCACTATTTATCAATGAATTATTTGTATTTTTATGATTTCACGGTTCTTTAGGCATAGGAGTTTTAAAATGCGTGATCATGAATTTTTTGTTTTTGTTTTTCAGGGAGGCCACGAAAAAGGAGGCCACGAGCACGGTGGAGAAGAGCACTCCCACCATGGGAAAGAAAGTAAGCACGAGAAAGGAGGTCACCATCAAGAGGACAAAGGCCACAAAGACGCAGGAGGCCACGACAGTCACCACGATGAACACTCGACCCATGGCAAGAAGGACAGTCACTCTGGCGGAAAAAGATGGCACTACCATGACGGAGATGATGGGGACAACGATGGGAAACACTCTGCTCAACAGATTGTCATCCAACCTCAGAATTCCCAAGATGCAGCAAGCACCTTATTGGCTGTCAAACAGCTTCTGTCCCCCTTGCTTGTCTTTAATAACATGGATCAGTCTAATGCTGTGGCTGCTAAAGAGGAAAGTCAGGAGGTTCCTCAGTATCAACGACCTCGAGGAGATGATGGTAACCTCCGTCCACGAGGTCAGTCTGACTCATTCTTGGAAGAAGAGCAGCCGACGTTTGTCGAAACAGCGAACAAACCGAAAGTGTTTGTTCCTGTTCGAACTATCACGACTACTGAGCCTCCTCTTGCTATCAAAGTGATCTTCCCAGAGGAGGAGAAACCTGCTTATACTCCAAAGAAGACGAAGCAACACCAACAGTACCGTGCACCAGAAAATACTTACACGTCGAAAAAAGTACACCAGAATCTAGATGCCTTCCCACAAGATGTCTATAACGGAATCAAGAGCGAAATCAGAAACGACTTAGCACAGCACAACGGACACCAATCAGGTGATAACGGCAAGAACATCGACTCTATCATCGAAGAATTCAAGAAGGAGAATATTCTACCTGCAGATCCGCCAAAACAGGATCTGCTTGAACCAAAAGCCACAGACCAGAACCTTGATACGAAGTACGACGAGTACTTAAGTTACATACGTAGTCAAGTCCAGCAGCCTAGCGAGGAAGCGTCGAACATTAGGGAGAAGTACAGACATTACAAGTACATCCCGCCAAAGGTTTGTAACAAAGTAGGGCTGGGGCTATAACCTACAAAACATTCCAATAACAAAAACATGGAGAATTTGAACAAATAAGATGCACAAAATACAAAAAATAATGTCACAGCTTTCTAAAAACAACCTGTAAAATTGTTAAAAGGGCACACGGCAATTTTTTCGACTCGGATAAAATCAACTTAAGGCTTTTTTACCAAAAATGTCAGACAAATTCAATGGTACGCTCAGCTTTGATTGTTGCTTTAATGGCCCTTCCTTTTGCAATTATACTGAATTGTTCTTATGATCGTCCTCTCAACGAATAGGTAAAAATGTCATTAGTCTACAAAATAGAAATGACCTTGCATTTTATAGTTTAACAAAATTTTACAGTACAGTAATCAATTAGGGCCTCACATGATGGACTAGCCTCGACGTAATATTGTAGATTGTTTACACATACATTAACAGCTCAAAGACAGTATTGATGAAAGACTAGTAATTTGTATGAGAAATGGTATTTTACGATAAAACTAGCCGATTATGAGAAAAACAATCTTGTTTTTTCTCATTCAGGTCGCAGACCCGATCCTCAATGAGTTCATACAATACAAAACACATTGAGTGATCTGAAAAATGAAATCCTTGGGCTTTTAGGGTTGCTGACATGAAACCATCAGTTAGCATATTTCAAAAATAGCTAAGCCAGAATACCTGATCCTACGCTACAGCATATTGATATTCTCAATTTTTCGAAAAATGAGCAAAATCACGTCGGGGCTGATCCACCATTGTCGATCTAAATGAGTTAATTATTTTCTATGAACACTATGCCATCAAAATTTCGTTTGAATTATACTGAGTGATAAAAAAAGGTAAACACCACGTATGTTTATCCGATTTCAATAATTTTTGGCATATATGTTCAGTATCCCTTACTTGTAAAATGATTAAATCTGCAGCTTGATTCATCAACTGACTGCAGAAGCTTGTTCCACAATGGGTTGCGGATCCACGATTTCTTATACACTCATTGACACGCCTGCGCATCGTGCTGATAAGGTGGTCGAGATCCTGTTGGGTATGTCATTCCAGGCTTCTGCAACTTCGTGAGTAAGAGCTGCTAAAGTCTGTGGAGGGTGTTACAAATTCAAGGGCCTGCGACCTATCATGTCCCAGACATGTTCAATTGGAGATAGGTCAGGCGATCGTGGTGGCCACGGTAAACGGTTGATGCGATGTTGATCCATTGAAAAATGTGGTTTTGGATTATGTTTAGGTATGGAATAAGATGAGGCTCCACTACCTCCTGAATATAGCGTCGGCACCGTAAATCTACGAAAACTGAATGCTTCTTTATCATCAAACAATACACGCATCCACTACAAAAACTTAACAGAAAAACCTGACCCTTTTATCACTTGTTGTTCATCTCAAGATAAATCGTTATGTAAAAAATTGTTGAATTCTAATAAACATACGTAGGCGTTTACCTTTTTTGTCACTCAGCATATACATATATTGTCATTCAAAAGTAATTTCAAACGACTTCAAGAACCGTCCTTCAGAGGTATGTATGCTAGTACCGTGAGACATTTTTCATAGGAACCTATGGCATCATTTTTCTGAGATATATATGCATCCCAGATATTGCCATCTTATTCTGTAGCTCTTACCCACTGCATGTATAAGTAAGCTGCTCTTATAGAAATTGGAAATGGCAACGGCGCTGTATCAAATCACCGGAAGCATCGAGCACAGTGATGCCATTTTTCACTCTCTGTGACAATTGCAGCCCATACACGAGTCATTCAATTATGCAATTCTTTCCTATCGCAACATTTAATGAAAAATAAAACTCAATCCTTCCATCAGTCTCTCAACAGCGAGCTTCCGTGGCATGAAAGCCTGGCATGATTGAATGGCATGTAAGGACGCTTATACAGGGTGTTCCTTAACGATATGCGAATATTTAAGGGTGTGAATCTACATGAAAAATTAATGTTGCTCTATAAATTATGGTCCAAAATTGTTTCCTTACAAAAACTCTGGGTGTTGAAGTTTTAGCAAAAAAATGAAAATTAATGAATATTTTCAGAACCGCTTCAGATATTTCACTGATATTTAGTAATGCAAAAATAATGTTTAGCTTTAACAGTGGCGTGCGTACGGGTATTGATTTTTTATTATTTTTATATTATTAATATTTTTTAATGAAAAAATGGTAAGCCAGTGTTTTTTTGTCAAATAAAAATTATTTTTGATTTCTCCGTTCAATTTGAAACAAATCATCTCTCTTGAATTGTTTTCCTTCGATGCGCCACTTTTGAGTAAAAAATAAAAACCGTTCTATTGTCTAACTTGCAGAATTATTATTAATTTAATTAGAAAAATTAAACACATTAGGGGTAATGAACAACAACAACTGACAACATAAACATAACATTAAAACCAACGAAATGATTACAAAAATTGTTGAAAATGGCCCCCTTCACTTAGTATGCATGCTTCCGCCCTCCTTCTCATGGAATTGCGCACTCATTGAAATATCCCTGGAGTGTTTTTTATTCTATCACAAGCTGCAAGTATTCTTTTTCGTAATTCTTGAACAGTGTTAATGGAAGCTGTGTACACTAGTGTCTTAAGATAACCCCACAAAAAGAAATCTAAACTGTTGAGGTCTGGGGACCTTGATGGCCATTCTTGGGGCCCACCGCGGCCAATCCAACGATTTGGGTAAACAGTTTGTAAATAATTACGAACCCCTACACTGAAATGCGCTGTTGCACCATCATGCATGTACCACATATTGTTTCTTATTACTAACGGAACATCATCAAGCAGCGAAGGCAACTGTTGTTGAAGAAAATTGAGATAAGTATGTCCCTCAAGTCGTCCCGGCAAGAAGAATGGGCCAATAAGTGGTTGCCAATAATTCCTGTCAGTACGTTAACCGAAATTTTTTGTTGGAAATGGGTTTCGGTTACGGCATAGGGATTTTACTCTGCCCACAAATGATTATTGTGGAAATTCTGAATGGCATTTCGAGAAAAATTAGCTTCGTCCGTGAACAGAATCCATTGATTCAAATTGCGGAATTTGTATAGCTTTTTGAAGCTACCACTGACAAAGGGTCACACGCCTTGGAAAATCAATGGGAAGTAATGCCTGTACTCTTAAAATATGGCAAGGATATAACAAAAAATCCACTAAAATTCTCCAGACAATTTGATGGCAAATATTTAAGTGTCTAGCGATCTTCCACATACTCGTTTTAGGATGTTCTTCGACTTCGTGCAGCACTGATTCCTCAATTTCAGGTGTTCTCACACTTAGAGGTCTACCTTCAGATGTTCCTTTTCGGACAGAACCAGTTTCAACAAGACGACGATGAATATTAGAAAAGGTTCGACTATCTGGCAAAGCACGATCGGGATATCTCTGGTGATAAATCCGTCTGGCTTGCTCACCATTACCGTCGGCATTTGAAGAATTCACCATTATAAACAAGATTGTTACTCAATAATGGCGCAGCGAAGGAAAACAATTTAGGAGAGATCATTTGTTTTAAATTGAACGGAGAATTCAAACATAATTTTTATTTGGCAAAAAACCATTGGCGTACCATTTTTTTCTTAAAAAATATCGAAGTCAATACCCGTACGCACGCCACTGTTAAAGCTAAAAACTACTTTTGCATTGAAAAATATGCAACTTTATTAACTTTCACTACGTACTAAATATCAGTGAAATATCTGAAGCAGAAAATATTAATGAATGTCCATTTTTTTCCTAAAACTCCAACACCCCGAGGTTTTGTAAGAAAACATTTTTCGAACATACCTTATACAGCAAACTAACATTAATATTTCATGTATAGATTCACACCCTTAAATATTCGCATATCATTAAGGAACACCCTGTATATGTCGCCAATGTGACGCAAGAATGCATCTTTTTGATTGATGTTGTTGAAGTTGAGGGTAATAATGATTTTTTTTTTAAATCTTTGAGTCGAATTGACGTTGTGTTATAGCCTGAAACGCCGGAAGCCTTCACAGAAGCCTCGAATCAAGTTAAGAGTGTAATTCAGGATCTGAACAGTGGGGTAGCAATCAAGCAGTATCCAGCAGGGTTCAGACCTCTCAAGGACCAGAAGACAAGTCCCAGTGTGATAGAAGATAAAGAAGAACCGTGTCCGAAGAAGAAGCATGCACCGCCTGACGGTTAGTAATTGCTGGAAAGCTCAGAGATCGTTTATTTTAGTTTGTAATGAAAACAACATTTCTAAGAACAAGTAAAATAGGTTTTCTGGAGTTCTGTCTCACTCACTGCGAGATCACTCGTTTTTGCTAATTATATTGTACCAATATTGAAAAAAATTAACGAAAGACCCTATGCTGTGAGAACTGCGTCCAGGCAGCGTAAAGCGATCCAACGGTGCAGCGCTGTTATACGGAATAGCAGTAGCAGTGAAATAGCTGACGGGTGCTTGGACCGATTTTTTCTGGCAGACAATGGCGGGAGATATAGATTGCAGACCATACTGGGGTCCTTTATCACACATCTAATTGGGATGAAACAAATCGTTTGTGGAACAGGCTTCTTTGAAAATCAAGCAATGGTCAAATACTGGCAATCAGTTCCAGCAAAATTAACTTTACTCCCTTGCTTACTTACAAAGCTCTAAATATAACAGTGTATAATGCCAAATTTGATATTGCATTGCTGCAAAGAATAAAATATCTCGGAATATAATATATTGACGCTTATCTCGGATGGGACGCCCACACATTGAATATATGATAGGACAGTTTTTTTTCAATATCAGATATCTCAGTAAATTGTCGGATATTCCACAGCTCCGTACCTTATACGAGAGTAGTCTGAAAAGTTTCCGACCTAACAAAGATACAAGACATTTTTTCAACATAGCCTCTTTGTTACGCTACTTCTCCCAGCGTTGCTCCCATCTCTGTCACCCGTCAAAATAGTACTCGACGTTTTTTACTGCAAAGTAATTGTTCACGAAGGTGAGTGCCTCTTTATTTAACGAAAATATTTATCCTCCGAGTGCAATATTTAGATGAGGGAACAAAAAGAAGTCGCCTGGGGCTAGAACTGGTGAGTAAGGTGGATGGTCAAGCAGTTCTAACCCTAATTCGTGGATTTTCGCCTTGGCAACTGCTGAGGTGTGAGACGGTGCGTTGTCTTGGTGAAACAGGATTTTTTTCTGCAAATGGGGCCGTTTTTCGGTAAGCTCGGCCTTCAGCTTGTCAAGTAATGATGCGTAGTATGCTCCTGTAATGATTTTCCTTTTTGAAGATAATCGATTAAAATAACCCTATGACTCAACTCAAGTAAAAAAAACGCCATCACTTTCCCAGCCGAACAAAACAGTTTTTGCTTTTTCTGCAGCCGGTTCCCCGTTTGCAGTCCACTGTTTGGACTGTATTTTTGTTTCGGGCGTATAATGGTTTATTCAAGTTTCATCTACAGTAATAATCGGCGCCGAAACTCGGATTTATTGCGCATAAACTGTGCCAACAGAGCGTTGGAGATGTTCATTCGGAAACGTTTTTGGTCTAATGTGAGCAAACGTGGCACCCAACGCGTGAACAGCTTTCTCATGCCTAAATGTTGATTTAATATGTGATAAACACGTCCTTTTGATATGTTCATAACCTCTGCTATCTCACTTTAAATCGACGGTCGGCTAGCACCATTTGGTGAACTTTGGGGATGTTTTCGTCGGGAGTTGCAGTTTATGGACGTCCCGAACATTCATCGTCTCCCAAGCTCTTACGGCCACGTTTACATTCAGCTGCCCAAAATTTCACTGTGGTAAATGATGGCGCAGGGTCTCTATACACAGAATCCAACTCATCTTTGATTTGCGAGGGCTTATTGCATTTCAAAAACAATTACTTAATGACAGCTCGATACTCGATTTTCTCAATTTTCACAAAAACACTCATATCAACTCACTCAAACGACTGTTACATTACAACTGCGCGTCTAAAATGGCTGAGACTTTGGTCAGTAACTATGAACAGATGAACAACGAAATTCACTAGCTTTTATTTATAAGTCGGGTTGGAAACTATTCAGACCACCCTCGTATTATGGCCTAATCGTCTAATCATATTAGTAAATTTCACCGAAATAATTGTAAAGTCTGGTTTTATTGGTGCAAGTTATTCAAAGGGGTATTCAAAATATGGACGCATAAAATGGGTACACCAACTTTTGTGGGAAAACTTTTTATTTGTCAACAGAGAATGAGAAAACGTGTTTTTTAGGATTCAATCGAAAGTGTTGACAGAAACGAAAGAACTTTTCACATAAGATTTTTAGATATTTATAAGATCTATAAAATGAGACCACACGTAAAACGATCCGACTAATAGCAAAAATATTATGGCCGAAAAACGAGGTAAAATGTAGGTTTTGACACTTGTTGGTAATGCGACGATAATTTTACTTCTTAATAACAACAACAAAATTGGAGTATATTGGTCACGTGTGTTTTTCGAGAATATCTAATTGTTTATCCCAAAACACCTGTTTTCCGCCCATCACTACTAGTTTATTGAGCAATATACAGGGTTTGTTCAAAGAGCATTTAATAGCAAAATAGACGTGTTCACCTTGCCGTATAAATCACAAACCATTCCGAAAAATAATGGTTATTTTTATGCGAAAAACAAAGGTTACGTCTATTTCTTCTAAGCAAAAATTCTAACATCTCGTATTTGTGAGTAATTGAATAAATGCGCTATGATATTCGAAAAACATTCGTTACTATACACATTTTAAAACAAACCGAAAGTGTCCATCATCTTTTGTTACAAATTACTCACAAATACGAAAATTAAATTTGGTTAGAAAAAAAACGTAACCCATCATTTTTTGCATAAACATAACATTTATCTGCCGGAATAGTTTGCGATTCATATCGGCATGGTAAACTAGTGATTTAGCTATAAAATGCCCTTTGAACTAACCCTGTATATTGCTCAATAAACTAGTAGTGATGGCCGGAAAACAGGTGTTTTGGAATAAACAATTAGAAATTCTCAAAAACTACGTGACCAATCTGCTCCAATTTTGTTGTGGTTATTAATAAGTACGAATCCTATGAATCTGAATAATTTCAAGTATCTGCGAGACACCATCGTCGCATTACCAACAAGTGCCAAAACCTGCAGCTTGCCTCAGTTTTCGGCCATAACTTGTTTGCTATTAGTCGGATCTTTTTATGTATAGTCTTATTTTGTAGGTCTCATAAATACCTAAAATTCTTATATCTTTTTCGTTCCAGCCAACACTTTCGATTGAATCCCAAAAAACACGTTTTCTCATTCTTTGTTGACGAATAAAAAGTTTTATCACAAAAAAATGGTATACCCATTTTAGGCGTCCATGTTTTCAATACTCCCTTGAAGAACTAGGAGCAATAAAACCAGATATTACAATTATTTCACAAACCCGGGGTATTTTCATCAAATATGATTAGACTCAAATCATCTCAGCTACGGTATTATTGTCTGTGGAGCTGCACATATCACATACCATATGTTCGAAGCTTGGAAATAATACAAAAATTCATTATAAAGACGATGTTCAAGAAGCTAAAGCTATTCGGGAGATTTATTGTTCCAAGAATAAAATATTTTCAATGGTCATCAACTATACTTTATACACGATACTGGTAAACGCTCGTACTTGCAGAGGCAACATGAGAACAGGAATAATCCTTTAGAAATCACAAAACCACCAACCTTTCTGGAACCTAGGTGTTAATATGCTCCCTGAAGGATTACAACAAATAAGCTCAATTCGACTATTTTAGAAGAAAGTAAAACATTGGATGGCTTTACAAACGTCTCGTACACACCAAATTATTGATCTGAAAAATAATTGAAATACCAAAGTAAACAGAAAATACTCTATTCGACAACATTCCCGAAACGTAAGCTTTACCCGAATTAAGACTGCAGATACTGGACAAAAAAGAACTGGGCAATAATACATTAGAATCATCGTGGTGTGTGCTGTCAAACGGACAAAGTTGTTCCACGGCTGCTGCTATCCAGCTTAAAAGCGGCAGGACCGCTTTACGTTGCTTGAACGGTCCCATTGATAGTCTCATTTTAAGCCGATGCTTTGATGACAGAGCTATTAGAAACGTTAGTGTCAAGAATGTCAAAAGCCGGTTGTTCCGTAGTTGGAGTTCTCGATATTTGTGAAGAAATAAAATGTTCACGATATAACCATTCCGCAGGTACTTATAGTATTTTTAGGAATTACAGAAAGTATTGTACTAATTAATATTTCTTCTGGAGTTCTGGTTAATAGTTTTACCAGAATTTCTATCCCGTTCAACTGTTAAGAGAGTTAACTAGAAGATAAGCGAATTAAAAGTCGTAAGTAATAGTACGCCTTTGCACAAAGTTTTTCAGCGAAAACCGTGACAAAAAATATCACTTTATAAATCGTATCGGCAAGTTCTTCCTCAAACTAGTCTACTGTCAATTCTGCACGAACAAAAAGATTCTCCTCATCAACCATAATCGACAATACACTATGTATCGAAAAACAAACGCGGAAAGCTTCTTCATTCCTGTTGATTCTGAATGGCTGAAGATGAAAAAATACAGTGTTATGATACACCGAGGATCATTCTTGGTGTATGTTACTATTTTGGATGTAGCTTTATGGATTTGCCGCACTTTGTCAGGGTGACCACAGAATTTCATAGTTCTGAAAATATCTACCGACCAAGGAAAAAATATCTGTGAAATTGACATGCGAGAAGAAGCAGATTCCTCATTTTTTATTGAAAAGTTAAGAGAATACCGTCAAATAGCTGCATATACTTGTGTCCACTACTTCAGATTCTCCAGTTGGTAGGGACATATTACTCAAGGCCATACTTGACTTTGATAGGTGGGCGGGCTTAGCATGTATTGGCATCCAAGGGCCCAGTAGATGGCATCCACTGCAGTACGTTTCGCTCACCGTAATGCCCCATTTTTTCTCATTTATTTATGGATGGAAAGAATCATACTTTTAGTTAAAGTGCCGGATGTTTAATACGTAAAATATCGCATATGCCGTGAGCGCCACCTATAAAGAAATGGCCGTGCAGCTGATATTTGCCTAAACTTCTGCAACCCGTATTTCGCTAGCGTGCTTTGTGGGTTGCATGCTCATAGGATACTGTATATACACCTCTGGAATAATATGTGACAAAGTAAATATAAATGAGTATAAAGATCGCATTTAGATGCTTGTCTACACAACAACGGGCATGTGTACAGGTTCAGTGCTATTTCAGCATTGATTCCGTTGTGCAAAAGGTATACTGTTCATGAGCCTGGAAATATTCGGTAGGGTCAGCAAAGTACCTGATATCACTTATGAGTTTCGAAATCCCAAATTAGACAGCACACCTATCTAGCACAAGCCACTGATAGCTAGTACTCACTATGAATTTTGGCAAAATCACAATCTGCCAGTTGCAGTTATGTAATAACGGTGCCGGGATATTTCTGGTACTCCAATCCGATTTTCTTTTCCATAATTATTGGTTTTCTCGGTTTGTGGTCGCCCCTGTATTTTGAGCACTCAATTCTGTTGATCTATCTTTTTTCAGCCCACGCGAGTGGCAACACCGTCCAAGAGATCACTGCCAAAGTGGAATCAATGGGAAGTGCTTCATCATTTTTGAAACCAATCGTAGTGGCGGATCTTGGTGACAGTGATAGTTGAACATTCGAATTCAAATTGTGATCTTTTTAATTTATTAAGTGTTATTTTTTATATTTTATTAATATACGATGCTGTTTTGCAATTGCTTATTTAAGACTGTTACATACGTAAATGATAAATATGAATTTTATGAAAAAGATAACACTGTCAACCTACAAGTGGAGCGGAGAAGCTATTTTAAGCACTATATTTACAACGCAAGTTGTACAAAATTACAATTGGTTTTGAACAGCTTTTTATGATAAGATCAAATTGAAACAGCCTAAATGGTAGAATACTATCGTCTTGATCAGTCTGTAGATCCTTAATATAGACTTCCACATTCTTGATACCCTAAGAACAAAGGTGCAGTTGTATCGGCTAGTGTTTAGGCTACATATCTTCACGCAGCTAAAGTACAGTCCTGACGAGTCCATCTCGGAGTCAGAATGCGGTGTGGCTTGATCAAGGCCACCGAGGTGTACAATTCGGTAATATATTTTTATCTATCTGCAAAAATGTTTTTAGAAAATATTTTCCGCCTATAAAAAAACACGGAGAAAACAAAATGTGTCGGATCGAATAGTGAGATCCATACGTTATTCAAAACTATATTTTCATCATTTCTGACAATCTATAGAGACCAATTTAACATGATTTCTATTTTTTTATCTGAAGGTAGTTTTAGCAACAAGTATCTAGGACACTAATAGAATTACGTGATTAGCTCAAGAAAGCACTTATGCTCTCTTTAAAAGAAAAGTCATATAAAACCCCGTTATGTATTGAAACTATAGATCCCTGTTAAAGGATAAGAAATGAACGTACTTCTATGACTGCAATGTGTGCCCATTCACAAATTAATAAGTTTCAGCAGATATAAATTTGGTATATTTTAAACTCGATTGCTAAAACAACCCTTTAAAATAGCAAAAACATTTACTTCCGTTCAAAAATTCTAGGTAATTATGTTTTTTTTTTGACATTATTACCTTTGGTATATAAATATCGGCAATGCGTTAAGCAAGGACCTAGTTTGTTAGCCTAGTGTCAAAACGTAAAAGAGATGTGTGAGCAGGGAAAAATATTCTTTTTTCAATTATCAATCAAAAAATTAAACAGAAAAATCCTTCGTTATTTTATTTCACTTAAATATAGTAGAATGCACAAATACAGAAAAGTGAACGGACGGCCTCATTACTAGGGAGCTATAACAGACTTAATAGATAGTAAATACAAAATATAATAGCTAGATAACAAATACATTTCCAAATAACAGAAAAATACGAGTACGTTTCTACTTATTGGCAAAAATACGAGTGTTTTCTTATGTAGGTTCATCATAAAACAGCTGTTCAAAACCATAGAACCAGATCAAAACCTATTTGATTAAATTTGGTGCCATTGAAATCGATTTTGACAGCTTCTCGCTTTGAAATATCATTTTGGTGAGTATCCCAGATATTTGTATATTTGTTAATACATATATGTTTAGTTGATAATTTTTTATACTGTACTCATTTATGTTCAATATTTATCTCTATGATTAATGTGTACCAACTATGTATGTAAATATTGATGGATGAACGGATCCACGAATTTCCTTAAAAAATACCAGACTCGGTGAGGGATAGATCGCCCGCTTCTTCTGTAGATGTATTTTCGCAAGTATCCAATATCCAAGTGTTGTTTTCCAACAATACTATAAAGCCGATGTTAAATAAAAACTATGCAAAACTGCCAAAAACGTTTTATTCGAAAGTAGAGTGGTGGCTGTTCTTGAGAGTAGGACGAGAGACAGATAAGCTGAGTGTTAAACGGGGCAAAAGTATTATGCTAAATCTAAGTTTTTACTTACATTGGCCGTAGGAAGTATTTTCAAAGTACTGGTAATGTTGTACTCGATATTGTACGATCAGTGGAACATAATTAAGAAATCGAAATATACTATTGCATGTGCCCTGGAAGATTCCATAGTAAGTTGATTTGAAATACTTCTTTGGTATGGAAAATAATTCAGGCAAAGAGGAAAAAAAATGCAAAATTATTAAAGAATATATATTCATTAATCATTAACATCACAAATCAGTCTATAACTATACTGAGAACCGAAAAACTTCACAGATTGTAAAATATTCAGTAGAGGTTCTGAGTGGAACGCTAAGGAGAGTAAATGTCTAGGAATTATAAAAAAGTAAACAATAGTAAAAAATTGATATACATTATTCATATAAAACATTGAAACGTATTATTGGTTTTGGGCTTTGTTGTTTAGACTTTTCTTTGGTATGTCCACTTTTCGATAAATCAATTTCTAACACATTAGTGTGACTATCTATTAAAAGACAAACATCTTGTTTAGTTTGTGAAAATGTACAAGTTTCACAAATGAAATGTTCAATTTTGGAATCTTTTTTCCTTTATTGCACACCGGTTTTCTATGATATGCCAAGTCAGATCAGAACAAAATATATTTGAGCATAACTCCAAATCAAGGTGTAACATTGTGTTGCTTTTTTTTATATTCTTACTACCACGAAGGCCTAAGGCCTAAGCACCCACTGGGTACCGTGGGGCTATGGGGGATACATGGGAAAGGGGGGATGCCACACGGACTTGGCGAGGGAACACGTGTGCATGCAACATGCAGACATGCACACATTCTGGCTCCGCCTACGAGAACCGATGTTTAACTTATAGTAATGTTTTTGAAATTTTACGCGTTTTTATTGAACACACTCTGTGTAACAGTGCTAAAGCTAAACCCTCTAGTCAAATATTTCACTAACCCGTAAAATATACGAAATATTTTTGTCAGATTTGTAAAAAAATATGACCTATTAAATTGGGCATTACATGCTTTGATAAATCTTTAGTTAGCAAGTCTATGACAACCTAATGTCACCATCCTGTATCATCACTCACTAGAGATATTATTTTCGGTCTTCAACCTTTTTTCAGGCGTCGTCTGAATCTGTCGAATAGCTTTAGAATCATTGGTGATGTTAATTCCCATATCTTCAGCACCTCTACTATTTTTTATAGGTGTTTCTGGAAGCTGGCTCATGTTGTCCCAGTCAATCTCAGAGAAGTCTATCACTATTTTGTTCCTCTTTGGTATAAATTGCCTAGAAAGTAAATACGTTTTTTAAATATTATGCTGATCCTATTTCTGAGCAATAATGATTCTTCATTCTTTTCATCCAATGTGTGTATGTATGTGTGTATCTCACATGTTTTCTAACTTTGTAAATGTTATTTAAATGCCATATGAGCAAGAGAAAACTTCTTGAGAAGTACAAAAGTTTTGATTAATTCTCAGATCTTATTCAAATTTATTATCAAGCACCTGATATTCAAACACTACAGTACTGAATAATATGAGAGTATTTAGAAGTAATACCTTCTTTGTTTCTGTTTCAAAAATAACATTGAGTCGAACTGTTTCAAGAGAAGGCAAGAAACTGTAGAATTAGTCTTTCTTGTCTTTTTTATCCCATTTGGGCCTTTATAAGCTTGATTAAAAGAACCTCACTACTTACCTATATTTAACATTAGCTGCGTTCAGCATCTTTTTGGAAGCAATTGTATTGCACTTATGTGCATGCTTGTCTGACATATACACAACTTCTTTAATTCCTGACTGAATGATAACTTTAGCACATTCATTGCAAGGGAATAAGGCAACATATATTGTGCAACCTTTTATATCTGAACAATTTTTGTTTAAAATTGCATTCAACTCAGCATGACACACTAAAAAAAAAACTTTCGTTAATATTGAGAAGCAGAGTAAATTTTAAAAGCTCTATACTTCACAGAGAGCTTAAGCTATAGTCAGGGACAATTTGGACAGTTGCTGGTAGTACCCCAGGACATTACTAGAGTTTTATTTAGGTTTTAGATTAATATACTTTTTAAAAAAGTTTCACGATTTTTACAAAAAATGACATTTTTTACTTGTTGTTGATGAAATATAAATATTATTCAAATAACACAATGTGTAAGGAAAACTGTTTAGTACCTTCAATGAAGCATACTCTCAACTCAGCATGCTGTTATTATTAATATTTTACATTTATTTCTCTTCATGATATAGTAGAATAATGTCAAGAAAATTTACTTGAAAATAATGACTAAATAAAATTGGACTTTGCTGTGCTATATTTTCTTTTCTAAAAAGTAGGTATCTTTGTTCTTCAGTACAATAAATTATTCTACAACCAATAATAATAAGTTTATTTCTAACAGACAAATACACCCAATTGCATGAAACATCAATGCATATTGATAAAGCACAGTATACAAATATATACATATAGATAAGAATACCAATATGTAAACAATCATCAATAATATACTATCTTACAACTTCATCAAGATAAAATAAAGTTCAATGACACGAGATTTAGTATCATTAATTATGTCGCGGTTACTTATACTATTGAATAGTGTACACATCCTATGAACGGGATGCTTGGAGAAAACATTAGTGTGGCAGAAATCACAGTAAAATGTAGCACACTAATGGTCACCTAAGCGAGGAACATTAAAACACAATATGTTTCTTAAAACCGATAATAAATCTTATTGTGGAGTAAACTGAACAAAAAAGACAAAGCGGAAATATTTAGGCGTACTTCAAGCAGTTTGATATTGAAAGTTTTGAGCAATACATTATGGTCAAAGCCTCTTCATGGATAGAATCTGCTAACAGCTAACAGAGTTTTGATAAATAGGTGCCCAGATAAGAGATGCATACTGAAGCTTGCTTCTGATGTAAGATCTAGAAGCTTGATTGCTTCAACAGAGAAACTTGACCAGTTACTAACACAGTACCCTAGCATTCGGGACGCAGACAATGTAATGTTATTTATGTGAACATTAAAAGTGAACTTAGTATTAAATGTAACACTTAGATCAAATGGAAAATAAATATCTACAAGAGCTTTTCATTATAATGATTTTTAAAAGATTTAGGACTTAAAATAGTACTAGACAAAATTTTTGGCTTACTTTGAAACATAGTTTTGGATCAGATTTGTTTTAAAGCAATTTTAATATATACATGTTAAAATGCTTTTCTTTATTTATATCTTTCGTAATTTTCATTAATTACGGAGCTTGGCAACTAACTCAATAAACTAATTTAATCAATCAGATGACAAAAAAATCCCACATACAGCCTAAGACAATTGACATAACCTTGTAAGCGAACATAGATATGAAAATACTGTAAAGACAATCTTTGAGGATTACTTATCAAGCTACAAAATGGTCTTAACATTTTTATATATGGATATAATATTTACAGGGGCATAATAAAAAAATCAAGGAACAAATAGATTTTTTAATGCTGTAAAAATCAACATATTATCTGACCTTGTAAAATATGTATCACAGTCCTCACAGTTGAGCAAGTTTGCAAGCACAAAGGCTGCAGCTTCCAATTTAGAACAATCAAAACTTGAGCATTTTGGCAAAACCCTTATAAAATCAATTATTGGGCAATACCAAAATTTGTCAAGTGATTTTAGCAATACCTAAACAGTCTCTATCCTAAAAGATTCTCTTCCTCCTCCTTGCCCTCTCCCTTCCTTCTTTCCCTTTTCTTCCCTTTATTACTTAACATTGTCTAGTTTGTGGGTTACCAGACCTGACAGATTTACAAACTGACACTATGACATAACAGATAAGGTCCTAGAGACTACTCTGACAACCCATGATGACTTGATCATATGTGACATAATGGCAATTTTTTTTAGTTGATACTGAAAACCCAAATACCATATATTTACCCAACAACAAATCCAGATCCTGAAAGAAATTCATGATCATTTTTGCATTTAACTGAATCAACCTTCTGGTAAAATCATTTTTTTGGCTTAGCAGATAAAGGGATTTTTGGTTGTTGAATTTTATTTTAGGACTTTCAACCTTGCATACCCTATACTACCCCTACAAGTGCCATTTGAGGAGTCCTAGATATCTTCAATAATAATTAGTTGCACCTAGTTTGTCAGCTGATTTAGTTGATAGCAAGTGGTATTAAGCAATGCTATTTAGCAACTGAGCTGAGCCATGCTTCACCCAGTAGCGTCATGGTATAAACGTGCAGTTGAATGTAGTGAATCATTACACTATCTTACCATATAAATGTTTATTATCACGCCTATTTTGACTCTTCTTTGCCCATGAGAAAGCATCATCATCACACCCTTTTGGCATACCATTGTACCCTATTCCTACAATGACATTATCATCATTGACGATACATGCTCCTACTTGTGTACAGGGATCTTTACTTCGTTTTGCAGCCAGAAAAGCTACGGCCATAAAGTATTCCTGCCACTCCAGGAAATCTGTGCGTTTCGAGTTTCTGTCCCTAAAAAACAAAAAACTTCTCAGGAACTGTTTTACATGCTATTTTCTACTGCCTTATACCCTGTTCCGTTCATATTTTTTATTTCAATGCAGGTTTTGTAGAAAATGTTGATGATAAGTCTAATTAGTAGAGTAAAATAAACATATAAATAAAAAAAAAACAAAAGTAGCTGAAAAGTAGGGTTACGTCTTGATTGTATGACGTGTGCTATGCCAGTAGTCAGTGAGCTTTAATTGCTATGTTGCCAATTGTCTTCAGATAAAAGTTTCCTCTCGCCGCACAGAATCGGATCTAGGAACGTTGGTGAACGACATCTTTTTACTATGAAAACTGAAAATAAGTGAATCGATAAGAATTGAAGTGGCTATAGGTCAATTCAACCGGAAGAAGCTTACCCTGGAAGATAGTACCGCGGTCTATACATTTAAGAAACAAAGCATGTAGAGCTAAGTGGCTTGACCACGTTAGAAGAACGAGAAGCGGTAGTCTGACGGGACTGGCTAGTAGGCTTAGAACGCTGACATGGAGGATGGCTTGGTAGAGCAAATTTCGTTGGAACATCGGCAGAATAAGGGGGTGCCAAGAAGTTACATAACACATCCTTCATGATCGGAATCACGTCATACTGTAACCAAGATCGTGACTCTCAAGTCATGTGATTAGTAATCCAAAGGATCACACTGTAACAGGTGTATATTAATGTTTGGACTGTCTCGGCAATCCATTTTTCAGGCTTGGGAGTCACAAAAAAATTGAATTATTTTTCAATTTTCAATTATATTTTTGACCTGCACTTAAGAACACTGCGTAGAGAGAGTCGAAATGTCCAGCACAGTACTTTGAGGAGTTATCAGTACGACCGTCGAAGGTAACATTTCTTTTCTACCGCCGCCGCCGCCGGCTGAATGATGGCTACACGTAAGGTGTCTAGCGTTTGCTTACGTCGCGTACTGCAGCTGTACGTCATCACCAACTTCACGTGGTCATTAACAGAATGCGTCGAACATTGGCGTCGGTGTCAGTCGAGTGCTATCTTTCAACTTGTTCAGAAATTGATGATGAAACAATTTTAACTCTTCTTTTGCTCGAAGAGGAAGAGGATGACGATTGCTTGATACGGATGTCACTGAAGAAAATAAGACGAAAAAAGCACAACTTATTTATGACGAGGAACAGAGAAGGTTGCTTCAACTTACTGCTGAACCACTTCTGCAATAACGACACCAAGTTTACTGAATATTTTCGGGTGTCAAGGGAACAGTGTAAACGAGTGCTAAAACAAATCGAAAATGATATCACCAGACAATCATCATATGAATCATTTCACTCATTTTTCCCGACATTTGTGTTTTTCAATATTGTTTAAAAAATTCTTATCACTGGCATCATATAAAGGTTTGTGGCTTTTAACTAATTCAATCGCCAATTCGTCTTTTTCTTTGTTATTATGGCTCAAGGTTAAAACGCCAGCCATACGCTAGGAGACCGCGTCCATTATTTCTTATCTAAAGCATAGAGACGCGACGTATGGCGTAACGCTCGTGCCGTATGCTCCGCTGTTCGATTTTCGTCCGTCGGCGCGCATGAAGTCACGCGGAGAGTGATTATCATTTGGGTTGATATGGTTAACGTGCATATTTTCACCTACATGCCAAACGGCTGGACGGATTTTCACATATCAGGTGTCGTTGGATTCGTCTCAGCGCTGCGAGTGAGACTAGCTACATTGAAATTTTATAAAAAAACAAAATGGTGGATTTTAATAAAATATTTCAAACTTGTAATTCCTACTTGATAGGCTACAGATCAAATGGCTTGATAGATTTTCACATATGAGGTGTCGTTTAGCTACATTGAAATTTTATAAAAAACAAAATGGTGGATTTTAATAAAAGATTCACATCTTGATTAAGACGTCTTGCTAACAGGTATTGGACCCTAGCGCTTTTTACATTGACTTTGTCTTATCTTTTTGTGAGATGTAGCCATTTTTTTGCTAAATTTTGGGTCTTGAGGAAAACTGTGGAACTTCATGTCTTTGCAAAGATTCCTTTAGACTGATTGTCGGAATTACTTCCCACAACAGCACACCGCATTTTTATCAATTTATCAACCACACAGGGTATATAAGGTATGTATAACTAATACAACAAGTCACAAAACTACCAGAAAACACCAACAAATCGCACTATATAGTATTAACCACGATACACGTGAACTGGCCTCCGGTGTTTATTGGAGATCACTGTTTTACATGCCTAGTTGAAACAGAAATTGAACGGTGCGTGGATAGTGTTCGTATTAATGCTGCTCATACAGGCGCTTTTCAAACTCTTTCGTAATAATTGCTTGCTCTTACGAAGAATCTGAGAAAATATGATTACTACAAAGACCACGGACTTATCAACATCGTAGCTAAATATTCGGAAAAATATTGAAATAACGTTTCAAGGGCTCTCATGTTTTACTTGATCCATTTTCAGACGGGCGTTCTGATAAGAGCCTATGTATTAAATGGGTTATCCCAGGAACCTACAGGTATATTTCATTCATTTAACATGACATCATTCTATAGACTTAGATCAAACGCAACAAATCCATCAAATCTGGGGTAAGACAGTAAGGCATATATTTTGGGGAAAAGGTATTGCTTTATTTTCATTTTCCTCCGAGCCTATTTGAAGCTACATATTTGGGAGATAATGCACCATGGGCGCCCGCAGTGAAGCTCGATTATCGACAATACATAACCTTTTGTACGTGCAAGTGTACCTGCTCCAAAACTTTTTTATGAGCGGGGGGTAGCAAATTTTTCCTGATTCCCTTTCTATTGGCGATGAGTAAGTAGTTAGGTACCACCATGCAGACAGAGTGTGAAAACTCGAAAGTGTGTACTCAAGACAAATTACATGCATTTCTCAAAGGGCCTTAAATAAAAATTTTCGGAAATATTGCTATGCTTCAGGATATAAAACACCAAACAAAATTTATGCAAAACGCCAACAAGGATTGAGCACCCACGAAATGGAGTCAAGTAGGTTGACTCTACACTTCCCACGCAACGTCGACATCAATTCATAAAAAAATATGTTCTGCACGAGTTAGACCCTATCGAAATAAAGCCTAGACACAATGGTGAGTGGCCAAAAAAGCACGACACGGACGAAAGTAGCATGTTTAAGCTAATCCTGAGGTCTAAGGAGCATATAGCTCGTTGGCATAGCGATAGAAGAGAACCAGATCGCCGGTGGCCCGTCGGTGCGACGGTTAGAGAAGTGTCATCGTATAGTCGGACAGCCCTCCTCTGAACAGCATCGAGCATACCTTTACCTAATGTAGTAGGAGCTGTAGTACCCCAAACATGTGACCAGCACTCGAGGCTAGGTCTAATCTGGGCTTTGTACAGAGTGAGGAGGTCTTGTGGGGGAAATACTTCTTAACCCTAAACAAATAGTCTAGCTTTGTTTGCAGCAGCTGCCGCTATCGACGAAATGTGTTCGTGCCAGATCAAGTCCTCGGTGATCTGGACTCCGACCAGCCGCAATGAACGGATCTTTGGTAGAACTCGGTCATCCATCGAAACAGTATGAGCGCTAGGACGCTTAGGATCAAAATATGTATATGTATTGGCACTACCATTCCAATGAAACTCCAATATCTGCTCTATATTTATCTTCTGGTCTTTTATTGGCCCAATATGTTATTTTGCGATACAGAATATTGGCACAGTATTGTAACTGCGAACGTAAATATATATGTTGGCACAATTTTGTAATGATTGCACAAGTACAATTTTGTGAAAGCGTACATTGGCCCAATATTCTCTCCACCTATAGTCAAATACCAGAATTGATGACAGTAGCAAAAGTCATCGTAAGCCACTGCTTTGACGCGGTACCTTTTGATTACAGCTACGGTTGCCGACATTTCACAAACAAGCGCCGCATTTTCGAAGGCCTCCGCGTAATAGCAGTGGCGTACGATTAGTTTCGCTACTGTCATCAATTTTGGTATTATACTATATACGAGGGATGTCTTTTAAGTTTTGCTTATAGAACCATAGTAGGCCGCGCGGATCGAACGTCAGTAATGAATCTTAACCTCACTCTTTAGTAATCTTAAATTTAAAGTTTCACAATAATATGTGCAGTGTTCTCACTACAGTGAATTTTTAAGTGTCTCCAAGCCATTAGAAAAATGGAACTCAACCAAGAACATTTTCGCGCCATAATTTATTACGACTTTCAGAGACAATTATCGCAACAAGAATGCCTTGCTGAGTTACTGTCTGTTTTTGGCAACGAAGCGCCACATCAGTCGACAATTTTCCGTTGGTATGGAGAATTCAAACGTGGACGGGTGCGTTTTAGCGACGATCCTAGGGTAGGTGCACCAAAAACGGCAGTCACCCAGGAAAACGTCGATGCTGTGCGCAAACTCATAATTGAAGATAGACATAGACAATATCGCGAGATTGAGGCGTCCTTGAAGATCTCGAGGACCTCAATTTAAAAAAAAAATTACATGAAGAATTAGGAGTAAGAAAATTACTTTCTCGTTGGATACCACCTCTTGACTGAAGAGCAGAAAGCAGCCAGGGTTAATTGGTGTCAAAAAACGCTTGATCGTTTCAATTCCGGAAACTCAAAAAATGTGTACAGCATTGTTAGTGGTGATGAATCGTGGATTTACTGTTATGAACCAGAAAATAAACGACAGTCAGCTGTTTGGGTGTTCCAAGTTGAAGAAAAGGCAACAAAAGTCATCCGTTCTCGAAGTGTTTCGAAAAAGATGGTCGCGACATTTGTGTCAAAAGCGGGTCATATTGCAACAATTCCTCTTGATGAGCAAAGAACTGTTACTGCGGATTGGTATACCACCATTTGTTTGCCGAAAGTCATCACCGAGCTTCGAAAAATCAACCCTGAAAGAAGAATTATCCTCCATCAAGACAATGCAAGCTCGGACAAGGCAGTATTTAACAGAAGAAAACTTGGAATTATTGGACCGTCCTGCATATAGTCCTAACGATTTCTTTACTTTCCCAAAAATTGAAAACAGACTGCGTGGCCAAAGGTTCCAGTCACCAGAAGAAGCAGTTGACGCATTCACAAATGCCGTTTTGGATCTGCCAGCAAACGAGTGGAATAAGCGCTTCGAAATTTTTTTCGAGCATATGTGTATTAATCTTCGCGGAGAATACTTCGAAAAACAATAAAGTCATTTAAAACTACCTACCGTGTTGTTTTATTTCCATATGCAAAACTTAAAAGACATCCCTCGTATAACATTAACTAACATTGTATTTTTCCTAAATTGGCTAAACTTTGAAAAATACAATGTTATGCTTTCTCTCTTGGCCTATATTGTCTCAATATATTTTTTGCGAAATTGATGTAGAATATTGGCACAATATTGTGATTGGGTTCGTAACTACGAGTACAATAGAGCGGATAAATGC